ACACACACTCACACACACATACTCACCCATACACACACACACACTCACCCATATACACACACACACACACACACACACACACACACACACACACGGATACATAGTAAATAACTGTGATACAGTGACACATACATTTTAAAAGGTAACTGTCGGGGGGAAAAGCTCAAGTTGTACCTCATTACCCAAGGAGAAGGTCCATCGTACCAGCCCACCTTTCTCTCACAGCTCTGTGGAACAGAGTTGGCATGGTAACAGTGGAGTCAGAACTGCCAGGTTCCTCATCTCAGGAGGCCATCTTGCTCTTCTGTGACTTGGTGTCCTTATCTCTCAAGTGGAGATGAGGACACCACCGCGTGATGTCACACATGGAAGGCACTTGGGATGTAATGCAAGTGGATGTGGATGTGTGTGTGTGTGTGTGTGTATGTGTGCATGTGTCTGTGTATGTATGTGTGCATGTGTGTGTGTATGCGTATGTGTGTGCGTGCGTGTGCGTGTGTGTGTGTGCGTGTGCGTGTGCGCGTGTGCGTGTGCGTGTGCGTGTGTGTGTGTGTGTGTGTGTGTGTGTGTGTGTGAAGGCCAGAGAACAAGCTCAGCATTACTCCTCAGGTGCTGTGGAGACAGGGTCTCTCACTGGCCCACACTTACCAGTAGGCGAGGCTAACTGGTCACCAAGCCCCAGAGATGGACCGGTCTTCAACTCCCCAGTTCACCACGCCGCCTTTTTAATTTTTTTTTTTTTAAAACAAAAACCAAAACCTGGGTTCATGAAGTTGAAATCATGTCCTTTGTTTGCAAGGCGAGCACTTTACTGACTGTGTGTGTGTAGACGGGGTTTGGAGGTACCGTGGTTTTAAAAACTGAGCCTGCCTGGGCCGATGGCTGACCGCAGCCTGCTCTTCTGGAGGCATTCCTGTGGTCGTGGCAGCTGCGTGTCTGGTACTGAGCACCAGGTCCCCAGAGTCCGTTGGCGCCCTCCACTCTGGTTCTCTTCTTAACCTGTCACTCACTCCCTAGTGTCTTACAAATCAACAGTGTTCCAGAGTTTCAAGAAAACGGCGTTTCCTCTCTATTTTCGAGTTTGATTTTGATTTTATGCGTATGAGTGTTTGCCTGCATGTATGTGTCTGTGGCATGCAGACTCATGTGTATAGTAGCCTTGGAGGCCCGAAGAGGTCACTGGATGCCCTGGGACTGGGATCCACAAAGTGGGTGCTGGGAATTGAACTTAGGTCCTCTGGAAGAGCAGTCAGTGCTCTTAACTGCTGAGCTGTCTCTCCAGCCCCACATTTTCTTTTATTGTATCATTTTAAATTCAGGACCATGACTTGTAAAGAACATAAGTCTATATAAAGGCCGGAGACCTGGGTTTTATTTTTATTTTACTTATCTTTTTAATGAGCCCCGAGACTCCCACTAGGCAAGCACCCTGCCACAGAGCTACCGCCCCAGCCCGGGGGACACGATGTGCCAGTGACTAGGTTTCTGTCACTAGAGAACTTGTCTTCTGTGTTCCGTTTGGCAAGTTATTATATGTATTTCCTTTGGGGGCAAATAATGTTTGTCGTCACACAAACACACACTCATTCACACGCACTCATGCACACACAGATGTACATATAATATGAGAGGGTATTAGTTATTCAGTGGGAAATTTTCATTATGAAGTAATTGCCTTGCTGTAAGTGGTTGTTTTATATTAAAACTTTCTGTTTCCAGCTTCGAGCTCAGAATCAGGTCCTGAAGAAAGGCGTTGTGGATGAGCAGGCCAGCTCTGCTGTTCTGAAGGTATGCCGTGGGAACCTGGCGTAGCAAAGGTTGTTCCATGTTGGGAAAGCAGATGGTTTGGGGGATAAAGTTCCCCAACTCTGACACTGATTTACTAGGGGTAGGGATGGTAAGAGTGTTTGCCGCGTCTGACTTCCCTCCTTAGGTATGTGTCTTATGTGTCTCCTCAGCTAAAAATGTAGACCAATAGTGACTTTATCTGTTGCATTTCTTCTGTAGTTCAAGGCCTTTGTAGAGTCAGATCCATCTGGATGAATGCAGCCTTGTCTCTGCCGTCTCCAGGCGGCACTCTGAGGGGACTGGGCATGCTTGTGTTTGTATCTCCAGTGTTCAGCAGATGGGCCCTAAGAAATGAGTGTGACTATGGATCACGTGGTCCATTTATTCTTGCTGTTAGTTGGCCACTTGGTAGTGATAACCTGTGTCCGTGTGCACACTGCTTGAGCAGTCCGTTTGTCCCCCAGCATCTCTCTTAACTGAAGCATAATGGGCTGAGAAAGGATTTGCCTCTGCCATTCTATCTGGCCTGTAATAGATGGTGTCTTGTGATGGTTTTGACTGGAGAGATGAATTGTAGGTTATGGATTACTTTCCTGAGACCCTTGAGGAATTGATCAGTGACTGTCCTAATGGAAACCTAGTACTGAGAAGTGTCCTCCAAATAGCCTGCTCTGTTTGGCCGCTCCTGGTTCTGGTCTTGTGGATGACTCTGTGGTGGTAGGAATGTGTGGATGGGCACGGCAGTGGCGCTGAAAATACTTAGTTCTCTCTTTGAGCGCTCACCACATGCCAGGCGTTGTACTGAGCACATGCTACACCCATTGTCTTATTTCCAACAACTCTGTAAGGACTGATAGTGTTATCGTCCTGTTGCAGAAGCTGGGCTTAGCTAGCAGTTGGCACACACCGTTTCCGAAGCTGGTGGTTGGTTAGCACATTTGGAGCATCATTCCACTAGTGGTGACTCACTGCACCAGTGTAAAGAAATTGCTTCGCATCTTGTTCATTCTGAGGTCATTGCAATTACAGTATGGTGTTACAGTACATTGTAATTACAGGACAGTGGCTGTTACTGTGTCCTCTGATTGATGTAATTGGATTTGCCCCACAGTGAGTTGGATTGGACTTCCTTTAATTTAAGGTTTTTGTGATGATTGACACTTGAGTTGGACCTATGTGTACCTTTGACCTTCAGGTAAAAATGAAGGGCATACTGAATAAACGAAATGGTAAAGAAGGAAAAAGTGTCTTTCTCCTGAACGGGCACATGGTTGGGCTCTGTCACTGCCTTCGTCATGCAAAGCGCTCCCCAGCACCCCCAGCAGCGGGCCGGCCATCAGGCTGCTGCTTCAGTACAGCTCGAGTGTCTGTTCGTTAATTTCACTGCTTGGTCTTACAATTCTTTCTCTCAGGGAAATTAGTCAAAGTAATTATTTAAATAGACGAGGACTCTCACTGCTCATGTTGCCTATCAGTGAGCACAAAGTTGTAAGTAAAGTGTAGGTAAAATAGTGGATTTTTAAAATAGGGGAAAACTGTGTCTCTCACTTCCTATGTCTTCTCCCTTTGTAAATAGTAGAGAATAGTCAGCAGACAGGATGCTATTGAGATCGTAGGTCTTGCATCTCTTTTCAAGGGCTTGAGAGTGAGCCTCTGTGGACCAGAGTGCTGAGGTCCTCCTGTGCCGTGGTAAGGCTGGCCTCAGAACCTAACAAGTGACAGGCAGGTGGCAGCCAGCGTGCTGAGAAGACCCGGAGCTGGCATGTAGCTCTGCGCTCATGTAGGCGTCCTTGAAGACCAGGTTAGGTTCTGTCCCCAGTGTGGTGGCGCAAAGAAAGGGGGTGAGGTGGGACAAGACTTCATTCACATTCAGAGAGGACTTACAGAGAAAGGGCCGTAAACAGACTCCTGCCCTCCATGAGCACTGAGGGCGTCATCAGTAAGTCTGCGCTTCCCTTAACATCCAGGGTTAGAAACGTGTAGCCCTGGCCTGTCTGCCCGCTCTCTCGGACGTAACCAAGTTACAGGCATTTTGTTCTATGTTGCTGACAGTCTGTTATTTCAACATTTATATTTTATTTATTTATAAATATACTGGTTTGACTAGAAGCTATTTTTGTGCAATATAGCCGAAACATATCTGAAATAATAAATATATAACATATTCATTCCCTGAAGCAAGCGGATTTGATTTTATGTTGGTGGAACAAAGACTTAAAAAAAAAAAAAGCCAAACAGAGTGTGAGGAACTGTTTCGCTTTGATGTAGGAACAGCTGAAAATGAAGGATCAGTCGTTGAGGAAACTACAACAGGAAATGGACAGTTTGACATTTCGAAATCTGCAGCTTGCCAAGAGGGTGGAACTCCTTCAAGATGAGCTAGCGCTGAGTGAGCCCCGAGGCAAGAAGAATAAGGTGAGTGGAGTAGAGGCCCCTGGGTGGTCTGTGGAAGGCACAGACTGGTGTGGACAGCAGAGCCACTCCAGGCCCTCAGTGCTCCATCGCTGTGTCTGGTACCTGAGTCCAGAGGGGAGGTGTCTGCCATTCATACGTCCACATAGGGCCACTTTCCCGTTTCCTTTTGTTTTGGGGACAAGATCTCTTCTTGCAGCTCAGGCTGGCCTCAGATCCACAATGCTCTCTTCTTAGCCTCCTGGTGCTGGGATGACAGGTGTGGGCCTCTGTGACCACTTCAGGGGCATTGCCATAGAAAAGTCAGTTTTTAAAAATTCATTAGCGGCCAGTGTGCGTAATTGGGTTTAGTAGCTGAGAAAAATCAATGGAATAGCTCATATTGCTCAAAATTGGTATCTTTGTTACCTTAATTCCTGCTAGGCAGAGGTAAGGCAAATGAACTCGGAGGTGGTGAGTGACGGACTGTAGCTGCGCGAGCTGGTGCAGCTGGAGCCTCTGAGATGAAGTGTTGCCTTTGTGGTTTACTTGGGGGGCGGATTTCTGTGCTAAGAACATAACACGGCGTGTAGAGGGTTAAGTCTTCCGTGTGTAATGGCCCACATTCTGCAGGGCTGTTTACAGGCTGTGCTGAAGGGAGAAGCAGACAGGGACCCCGGAGAAGACTCGAGAGGGACACTGGCTGTGGTCAAGCTTGGTTTGAATTCTCGGCCTGCCGTTTATAACTCCACGACTGTGGCAAAGCTGTGAATCTTTTAGCCTCGGTTTATCCATCTGTAACGAGGATATGAGAATTTAAGGCTTATGAGGATTAAAGGTGATCACATGAAGTGCCTAAAGCTGTATCATCATGTGATATATTAATGCCTTTCCCAAATGCGTTGATCTGTTTAGAAGGGTGCTCTGAAGTGTTCAGGTCAAGAGGGACAGAGAGAGCCTACCATGTACATATTAGAGTCACTAGGAAGTGTGCATGCTTTGGGAATTCCAGATGATCCCTGGGAGGAGATAGCTGTCTAGACTTCAGACATGACTATCAGGAGTTTTTGTTGTTCTATTTTTTTTTAGTTGTGGGGAGGGGGGTCTTACTCGGTAGCCCAGGCTGCCCTGGTATATAGTCTAGGCTGGCCTTGGATGTGTAGTAGTTCTTTTATCTCGGCTTCCTAAGTGCTGGGATTACAGGTGTGAGCTACCACGCCTGGCCCACGTACCAGATTAATTATCTAGCAGCGATGTCTAAGACTTGTGAACTAGTCTTAGTTAAAGGTTCCAAGTTTGGAACACCGAGGACCACAAGTAAGTCATTCCATAGTGTGCCTTATGTAGTTTTTGTGTTCAAATGTGATGGGTGCTTAGTGTCTTTGGCTTCTGATATAGCTGTGTTTGCAAAGGATCTTTTCACCACCGATGGGTAGTGTGTCGGCAGGTGAGTTCATCTGAAGTGATGAGTGAGGTGCAGAAAAGGCAGAGATCGGTGACTGTTGTCTGCACAGTGTCATTGTTAGACTGCTCCTCCAATAGTCTCAGTTCTGTGTCACACAGAAACAAACGTTCTTTCTTAGATCTCTAAATAGGGCTATTCTTCTTAGTGGGAAAGTGAACATTAGCAAGAAAGGAATTTTTCATCAGCTCAGGTTTTTTTCTTGTGTGCATAATAGCTTTATTTTAACATGGTTAGGTTTTTACTAAGATAGAAATTGATGTGGACTCTCACATGAACATGTATTTGTGACTGCTGCTACATGACTTAATAGAACTTCGTAAAGGAATGTAATAACTCAGACTCTAACATAATCTCTCCCACACCGAAAGCTCAGGTTGAGACGAGGGGTCCTGCTGTTCTGTGTTCCAGCAGCTCCTGAATTCCTGTGCAGGAACTGATGAGCCCAGTTATCTTCCTCTCTGCCCCTCTCTCAAGCTGTCTGGCCTTTGCAGTCTGTGTGGCTCCAGTTTGGATCCCGTAGGCGAAGTCAAGCGGTGAATTGTGCCGTTTGCGGGGCTCTTTGAAGGAGTGAGCACACAGAAGACAAGCCACCGAGGTCGTGGTTGCTGTGTGCCTCAGCTTGTTGCTCTAAAGGATCCGAGTTGTGTGGACATGACTTGTTCTTTCCCTCAGAAAAGTGGCGAGTCTTCCTCTCAGTTGAGTCAAGAGCAGAAGAGCGTCTTCGATGAAGATCTGCAAAAGAAAATCGAGGAGAATGAGCGGCTGCATATACAGGTGACAGAAGATGGGGCTGGGGGCTGGCAGGATGGCTCAGTGGGTAAAGGCACGTGCCAAGCTGAAGGCCTGAGTTCACTCCCTGGAAGGAGAGAGCCAGCTCCTACAGGTTATCCGTCTGACTAACATGCGTGCTGTCTTGTGCCCCAACACAATAAATACATAAATAAATGTTTAAAGAAATGGAGCTTGGCACTGGAGGGAGGCTCTGTGGTGAAGAGCACTTACTGCTCTTCTAGATGACCTAGGTTCAGTTCCACCACCCATTTTATGACTCAAAAATGCCTCTAACTCCAGAACCAGGGGATCCCTTTTCTGGCCCCTGAGGGCACTGTATATGTGTGGTACAGGTATAGAACATGCAGACAAACAAAAACAAAACTCATACATATAAAATACATAAGTATTAAAAAAAAAACAAATGTGTCTTTGTAGTCAGAAGTTTCTATCCCACCAGCAGCTCCCAAATAAAGACACAGAGGCTTAATATTAATCATAAATGCTCAGCCAACAGCTCAGGCTTGTTACTAGCTGACGCTTACATTTAAATTAACCCTCGTTTCTTATCTATGCTTTGCCACGTGGCTTGGTGTCTTCTCTCAGTACCCCTTCTTCTACCCAGCATTCTCAGTTTGGCTCTCCCTCTAACCTTATTCTGTCCAGCTATTGGCCAGTCAGCTTCTTCATTAAACCAATCACATTGGTATATATTCACACAGTGTAAAGGAATATTCCTCAGGTCTTATAATCTGAGATGTGGAAAAGTTGATACAATAGTTACCTTGCTGTCTACAGGGATTTTTAATGTTTTCTATGTCCTTTAAGCATGTAATGTGACTATGATTTGTTCGTTTCTTAAATCTCACACATTGCTTGATGTACATTTGTTCAGAGTCTTCAGATTAGAAATATACTAGGCACAAGTCCCTTTACCCAGAGTTGATGAGATGGGTCATTTTGTGGGAGCTTATCAACAAGAAGGGTTTGTTTCATGATCTATGATGTTTAGGATTTTGTTTGTTGTGTTTTGTTTTTTGTATTTTTGAGGCAGCTTTTCTTGTAGCTCAGTGTCAGCCTTGAACTCCCTATGTTGCCGAGGATGTTTTTGGAATTGTAGTCCCCCTGCCTCCAACTATGAAGTGTGCTGGCGTTACTGGTATGCATCACTGCCCAGCTTTGAAAGATTTCAGGGGTCACAGATGACTCAGTGCATAAAGGTGCTTTTTGCAAGCCTGACAACCCAAGTTCAGTCCCTGGGACCACAAACCGACTCGTGCCTTCTGACCTCTGTACATGCACACACAAATATGCACAAGTAATGAGAAAAAGAAAAATCGTGAAAAAAATTGATCTCAGTGCACTTTATATCCAAGTATTCATAACTCTTAATTGGTATCAGGTTTATTAAGGAAAAGGTTTTGTATGTCTTAGGAGAAGCCCCTCAGTTGAATTGTCTATAGATAGTTGTTCAGAGGAGAGATTTGTGGGCCGAAGGAGGAAGGTAGAAGGCTGGGGAGCAGGTTTCTCTGTTTCAATGTCATTTCTACCGTGTTTTAACTGAGACAAGGACCGTGTAACACATTTAACTTTCCACATCTGTAAAAGAAGGATAAGGAAGTACAGCCCTGTTCCCTGTGGGAATTACGTGCTCTGGGGCCTTTAGCTCACCTCCCATCAGCCACACGGTAGTCCCAGGGCGCGTGGCTGCTGCTGGCCTCGCTGCATTGGGATCTCTTCCTTTCAGTTTTTCGAAGCTGACGAGCATCACAAGCACGTGGAAGCAGAGCTGAGGAGTCGGCTGGCCACTCTGGAAACCGAAGCTGCTCAGCACCAAGCTGTGATTGATGGCCTGACCCGGAAGTACATGGAGACCATTGAGAAACTACAGAATGACAAGGCTAGGCTAGAGGTAAGGCTGCTGCCCGGGGAGGCACGTTGATAACTAGGTCTGGCTCCTCTAAGTTCTGGGGTGCTGTGTGGGGACTCGGCCACAGGCTGAGCTGTCAGCTTTTCTTTTCTCCCCCCCCCCCCAAATTCAGGTAAAATCTCAGACTCTAGAAAAGGAGGCCAAGGAATGTCGACTTCGAACAGAAGAATGGTATGTGGAAACGTGAATGCCAAGGGGTCCTATAGTTGGAAGATTTCCTGTGTCCCTCCTGGCCTGTGATCGTGACAAATCTCTCACCCACAGTCCTGTAGCCGTTTACAAAATAATCACACAGAGGCTTAATATTAATTATAACTGCTTGGCCATTAGCTCAGGCTTATTACTGACTAGCTCTTACACTTAAATTAACCCATAATTCTTATTCATGTTTAGCCACGTGGCCTGGTACCTTTTTCTCAGTTCTGCCTTCACATCTTGCTTCCTCTGTGTCTGCTGGCGACTCCTGACTCAGCCTTCCTGTTCCCAGAATTCTCCTTGTCTGTTCACCCCACCTATACATCCTGCCTGGCTACTGGCAATCAGTGTTTTATTAAACCAGTGTACAAGAGCATTATCCCACAGCAGAGAAGTCTAATAAAGTATGGTGAATACTGGGAATAAAGTTTGTGTTCAGGTTACCTTCTACAATATGATCTCTTTCTTATCAGATTTAGATACAAACCTTATCTAATGTAGATACAAATCCAGCATGCTAGGGAAGATTCTATACAAATTTGGTGTATAGTATAAGATCATATATTGCATTGTTATTTTTCTCATCAATTTTATAGAAACAGAAAAACTGATACTCACTTCATTCTGAGCACTAATGAATTTTGACATGTGAGGTAGATATAAAATTGCTCAATTTCCCAGCTCCAGCCATGTTCAGTGTCATTTTTCATTAGTTCTCTTACAACCCAACAAACACTTTGAGCTTCATTACCTGAAGTGACACCATCAGGCATTGTAATATTTTCCATTTTCCTTTTTAACACAAATCCTTGCTTTATACTGTATCACTACTCATCAATTCTTTGTTTCCCTGATGCATACATCCATGCTGTTCTGCTCTCTTAAACTTGAACATGAAATATGTAGTATGAACAAGCTGATGAAGTCCAAGGGAAAATGATGCCTATCACTTCAGGGCAGCCAAGTATTTTACAGCTTATCTTTTTGCTGCAATTGCAGTGCCTTGGGTTGTTACTCCTTCCTTGACTTGGGTTCTAGAGTGCCAATAGTGACAGTGTGGAAAAGATCACTTATCTATCCTATCATGAACATAAAATGTGAGCATGACATAAATCTTACCAATAAACTAAGACCCCACTTATTTTTAGGTAAAGTTTAATCTCTGCATGCCAGATTTCTTTGTTCTTATATGGATTGTGGCTGTTTTTAGCTATATGTATAGTGTTGAGTAGGTGTAACAGATACTATTAGGTCCACAGTAATATTTGCCATCTACTCCTATTCAGGAGCTGTTTTGGACTCAGCTTTTAGTCATTGAGATAGATAATCAGCCATTCCTTATTGGAGCTCAGCGAGACCATTCCTTCATCGATAAGCTTTTGTCTTTGAATTTTCTTATAGACTTAACAACAGGCATGAATCCCAAGAAGATTTAGTTTTTTATTTTTTTTTTTATCTTCAGTACTGTATGAGAGCAAAGAAGACCTGACTGGAGACAAACGTGACTCTAGAAGAGTCTCCAAGGAAGAGAGCAAAGCACAGAGCCAAGGGGCAGGTCCAGCTCAGTCTTCACCGGCTGAATCACGAGGCCCTTGGTGAGAGCACAGTGCTTGGCCGTCTAGACGGCAGCTAAGATTAGGATTAGAGGCAACAGGATGAATAACTTTCATGTGTGAGATCAGTGTAGAAGGTCTCTAGCCATGGCATAATTCTGGTCTTCAGACTGAAGGTAGCCATAGACAGAGCAAATTAGAAAGCTCCTGCATCACACAACTGCATTCTGAGCACATCCTGGAAATTTTAGGATGAATCTGTTTAGGAGTAAGACATGAGACCTAAATGAGGATGCCATTTGTAGAGACTGAGCTGACAGGGTGTGGCAGTGACGAATAAGTATTTGCAGACAAATGGAGAGGGATTTGGGAACGAAGGGAAAAGCAACAGTCGCAGCTAATTCTATGAGCATTAGACACTCGCTACCCGCGGAAAACAATACAACAGACAGGTTCTCTCCAGTGAGTCTCAAGAGTCATCTTAATTTTCAGTAACATTGCTTGTGGTAAGAGAAGAAATGATACAGAGACAGCTGATCCATGACTGTGTGAGCCAAGACTCGTGAGGTCAAGAATGAGAAGAGGGGTCAGTGCAGGACTCAGACCATATGGGGAAAGGTATAGTGACTTATTTTCTTGCTCTCTCCTATCCAACTGTATTTATGCCCTGATAATTATTTTAGTGTTTTTACACATTCTTATACTCTCCAGCCCTCCAGCCCTCGGTTGGTTTGATTTATTTCTTAAGTAACCTAAATTCTGGAGTCAGTCATTTCATGTATGTAAGGTCAAGCTCTCTTTAACCTGTGCCCTCCAATCGTTCAACTGAAAACTGATTTAGATCCTTAAATTATACTCTCCATACTTGGTTTTTATTTTTTGGTGGTTTGTTTTTTTTTTTAGTCTTGCTTTAGAAACTCACTAAACGGTGATGATTAGATCCACTACAAATGCATTATCTCTAACTTGGCAGAATGCAAAAAGCAAGTCAGCAACTCTTTAGTCTTTTCTAATTGACTTCCAATTATAATTCCTGCATTATAGTTCTAACAGCTGTTCCAAACTCTCTTCAAGCCCCAATTACAACCTATTCATTCATTCAATAAATAATATTTTTAGCATTTACTATACACCAGGCTCTCTGTTAGCTATTAGAGAAACAACAGTGAGAAACATAGGGATAACCCCTTGACTTCATGAAGTTTATGATCTAATAGGTAAAAAGAAATTGGCAAGGCACATTATTATTAGGGTCATGATGGGGTGAGTACAGGTATTCAAATTATTATCAAAATTTATCTTATCTCATGAGTTTCACTAGCCCAGGTTAAATACTAGAATAATATTTTCCATGTTCTCCAGAAGCCTGGACTTTATGCCTGTAACCAGTGCCCACCATCTATAGAGACAGACATGTCAATTCATAAAAGACTAGTTTAGTGGAAAAGCTGAAGGTAACTGAGTTCCAAGGCTAGTCCAGTGGAAAGAAACAATGCCTCAACCCTATAACAACCAAGTCCCACTTGAAAATTGCAAATGATTCCACTGAAAGATTATGGGTGATTTAAAAAAAAAACAACCAATGACCTAATCCAGATGTTCATGAAACCTAAAATTCTACAAAAATTTCATTCCTTAGTAATAGCCTCTAATGAGAGTGAGTTATATAAAATCCCAGGCAAATGTTTGCAGAAAATATCCTAAAATATAATATGATATTAATATATAATTAATATAATTATAAAATATAATAAAATCAAAGAGTATATGAACAAATCTGAAGAGAACACAAACAGCTAAGTGAAACGGAGAAGTCAGTTCAGGTTCTGGAAATGTAATTCAATGAAGAGATAGAAATAATGGAAAAATTAAATTGAAATGTTAATTTCATAGGTCACATAAAAACTCAATAGAAAGTCCACCCACAAACTGGATCAAGTAGAAGACAGAATATTAGGGAGCTAAGATAAGGTTAATATGTTAGAGCACTCCACCAGAGACAAAGATAAGTTAATAAGGTAAACAGAACAGGTGAGATCTGTGGGCAAGCGTTACGAGATCCAAACTATACCTCACAGCAACGGAAGAAACACTTCAAGCTATCAGCCCAGGAGACATATTAAACAAAACCATAGTGCCGACTTTCCCATACCTAGGGAGGCATTTGGAAGAGGAGAGTCCTTCACTACATCATAGAGTAGTGAAATGGACAGAATGCAGGGAGAAACACCAACTCACCTATTAAAGGGAACATGTGTATGAAAGGGCAGGAGACAATGCACTTCTTCAGTAACTGAAAAATGTAAGTGCCAATCCAGACTAATAATAATCTTGCAATAATTATTACAGTAATATAATGTATAATATAATATTATATATAACCTATTATAATAATAATAGTAATCCTGCAAAGTTATCCTCCAGAATTGAAATAAAAATAAAACTTTCCAGGCTAAACACAGACTGAATGTATTTATAACCACTAAGCCAGCTCTGTAGAAAATACTCCAAGAGAAAGACAGACGCACCCACACCACGGCAGGAACGAAAACCTGTACTAGAAGAGTGAATAAGCAAAAAGGAATGAAGAAAGCACCAAGCCTTGCAAAGCAAAACAAAATAGCAAGAATGAAAATTATCCTCAATATTGCCTCTGAGCGTTATTGGTCTAATGTATCCAAGGAAAAGACCTAGTAGCAGATTGGCTTAAAAATACGGCTGGGGATTCAACTTAGTGGGTCAAGATATTTGTCATAAAGTCTGAGTTTGATCCTGGCACCTATGTGGTAGAAGGAGAGAATCAATTCCTCCAAGCTGTCTTCTGATTTCCACATGTGTGTAATGGCACACATACCCCCTGTCACACAATAAATAAATGTAATAAACAGGACCCATCTATTTGATCTATATCTATATCTATATATGAAACAAGCTTTATTGGTAATGATTAGCAGAGCCTTAAGGTGAAAGGATAGAAAAAAATATTCCAGTCTAAAAGAACTAGCAAGCAAGTAGGGGTAGCAATCATAGTATTTGAGAAAAAAAGGCTTCAAACTAAATTAATCAGAAGTGATAAATGACATTACCACACACCGATTAACAGAATACCCAACCAAGTGAGTATTGCAATTATAAACATATGCATACCAGATGTTGGAGGACCTGATTTCATATAACAAACACTACTGGATTTAAAGGCAAAGATTGGCTCTAACTCCACAGTAATGAGTGACTTCAATATCCCTCTTTCACCGATAGTCAGATTGACATTTATTTAGAAGATAGATGAAAAAGCACCATAGTTCAAATGAACTTACCCAACATCTTCAGAATTTCCTACCCAAAGACTGCAAACTACACATTCTTCTCAGAAACCCATGGAACTTGCTCTATCATACTTTAGGACAAAAAGGAAGAATTAACAAGTACAAGAAAACTGAAATGATTTCTTTTATCCTATCTGATCATAAGAGAGTAAAACTGAAAATCTAAAGCAAAAGAAGCTATAGAACATGGAAACCCATGGAGATTCCAATGACACATTATTGAATACTGAGTGGGTCATTAATGAATTCATATGGGAAATTTAAAAATTCTTGGAATCTAATGAGAATAAAAGCACACACGTCAGCCTTATGGGACATAATGAAAGGGGTTCTGAAAGGAAGCTATAGTTATAAGTGTTTACATTTGATATATCAGAGAAGACCCAAAGAAATAATCTTAGGGTATACTCTGTAGTCTTATAAAAGAGTAATAATGATCAGGCCCCAAATCAGCAGACAGAAGCAATTACTAAGGATCAGAATAGAAATCAATGATGTGGAAATTAAAACAGCAGTGCAAAGAATCAACAAAACAAAGTTGATTCTTTGAGTAGATATGTAAGATTTATAAACATTTAGCCAAAATGAGCCAAAAGAAAATACAAGACACATGTTAGTAAAAGAAAAGATTGAAAGGGACACATTTTAACAGACATTAATGAAATGCAGAGGATTACTACTGTATGCTTTGACAATCTAAATTATAATAAACAGGAAAAAGTGGAAAAATGGATAAATTTTTACCATATGACTACCAACTTCTTCATGTCCTAAAGGACACAAAATGTTAAAATAGACATAAAGAGAGACTGAAACAGTAATGAAAATGTTCCCAAATTAAAAAAAAATAATCCAAGCCAAGATTGAATTCTACCAGATCTTAAAGCATACCAATGCTTCTCAAACCATTCCACAAAATATAAAGGGAAGGAATACTGTCAAACTTAATCTAAGAGGCCAGTATTTCATTCACATGAAAACTGGACAAAGATAAAAATTATGATCCAGTCTCCCTGTGGAACATATATGGAAAGTTTATTTGTAAAATATTTTCAAATCAAACACAAAACCACTTCAAAGCAATCATTTACTATGACCCACTGGGCTTCATCTCAAGAATGCAAAGGTGGTTAAACATAACCAAGTCAATAAATGGAATATGTCATATTAAGAGAGTCAGTAACAGAGATTAAATAATCATCTTAAGACACACAAAAA